TTCATCCATCGCTGCCCTGAAATGCAGCCTCTCCTGGGCAGCAACACCGACCCTCCTGAAGTCCCTCACCAAACTGAAAGCGCAGGGGTACCTGGGCTGACAAACCTATTTTAGCCGGAACCTCATGACACTGATGTCAGCATCTCAGCTCTTCAGCGAGGGCCAGTGGAAAACCCAAAAGGCCCATTTCACACCTCAGCAAAACAACTCCCCCGGAGAATTTCCCCAGCAGCATGTGCCCACTGCCGGGTCTCCAGCACAGTCGTCTTGGTCCCAGCCAAGAGCGTATGCACGACTGGCCTCTGCTCCTCCATCTGACCGGATCTGGATGATGGCACTGACCCCAGCTGGGTTAGTGACACCTCGAGGGGGAAGCCACCAATCTGCACCATCACCAGGGAGACCAGTGCTTGTGCACCCACAGCACGACAGCCTGGGGGGGGGCGCAGATTTGGAGGTTTGGTGTAGGGTCTGTGTTGTACAAGCAATGGGATAAGCTCTGTGATAGCCCTGAATCTGGGGGGAAATACCACGGAGACCATGATTAGCTCCATTCTTTCACCTACAGCTGTGGGAAGCTCTGTGAAAAAAGAGAAGTGACCCTGATTATCTGAAAATGCAAATGCCCCTCTGCTCGGTCTCCTTCAATCCCCCCGGGACTATGCCTACACGTGTGAATAGGATGGGGAAACCTGTCAGGGCCACGTCAATCTCCTTAGCAAGGAAGATGCAATAAAATAGGCTTAAACACTCGGAGAACCACAGGAGGTACCTCCAGACTCCCTTACCTGGTAAGGCCTGTCCCGGGCAGCTGGACAAAGCCAGCACCAGTGCGCTAACACGCAGACGTCTGGCTTTGCTACGCAGCCTTGCTGGGGGAGAGCTCAGAGCAAAGCCGTGGGGTGTCTGGGTGAGGGGTTCTACACACAGTTCACCATGAGCTCAAGTGGTCAGGCAGGAAGAAGTTAGCAGAACTCAGTGACTCAGAGGGTGTTTTACTGCAGGCCAGAGTGGTTCGTGCTGGCTGATGAGTTAACCCTTGCTGGCTCTGCACTGCGGGGCATCTACGGGCAGATTTAACGACGGCATCCTTCCAAGCTCAGGGCTGGGGGGGGACTGTGGCCGAATATACATTCCCTCCTTCCGCAACTCCCAGACCAGCGGGCTGAAGACGTGGGCTGAGGGCATCTGTTCCCGTGGAGCTGTGGCACGGTGCAGAGGGGGATGCACAGGACAGAGGGAAGGGCACGAAGCAGCTGGCTCACAGCACGGGGCTGCAGAGCTCTCCTGGGTGGGAAGCCCTCCCACCCAGCACTAAGGTCACCTTCTAAAATCTGAACAGGTATTTTATCTTCCAAAATGGAAACGTTAGTGGGAAATGGTGCTTTAAGAATGGGGTCTCCTTCCCAGGCACTGGAACCTCTAATCCTCCTGACATTCCTGGCTGACGGCTTCTGGGAGCATAGGCAAACATCCCTTAGGCCTACGCGCTGTCCTGCGTGGGGACAGATGGGGACAAAGCTGGGGATTAGAAAAGTAACGGAACGTTTCTGAAAGCTGCCAACAACTGGAGGGGAGATTGAGAGTGGCCAACCCCTGATGGAGAGAGCACGAAAGGAGCCTTCTGTTTTCAGACACTTGGGAATGGGAAGGTACCCTGGATAATCCTGTGTCTGTGTAGCTGAGAGAGGGCTGCGGGGTTTTTGTTGGTTTTGTAAGTCCAGACAAACAAGTTTCTCTGTTACTTCACTATTTCTAGGAGACACCACACTGAATTCTGTTCCCAGTTACCACACTGCTGTTGAAAGAAGCTAAAGGGCAGTAACTGAGAGGCAACGTCTTGAACAATCAGTGCAACAAGAAAAACACAGCAAACAGCCCTTTTCTCTACCTGCAGGTGAGGTGCAGAGCCAACTCGAACCACTGACTTTATACCCAACAGACTTAAAGAAGGCCAAAACCGGGTTTAACTATCTTAAGGCACCTGCTCTAACAAACAGCATTACGTTTTCACAGTCCAGGAAGTAGTGCAAACCCTGAGACATGGCTGAAACCTGACCTTGCTCATCCCTGAACGGCTTTGGAAGGAAGCCTGGCACCGCATCCCCGCGCGCACATCTGCGCAGGCGTGAGCGTCAAGAGGGGGTCACTGCCGGGGGGGCTGATGTGCCCCACGGCGGGCCCTCGTTTTGGGATCAAAAACTCCTCAGAACACTATGAGTTGGGTTTTCCCTTGATTTCCTGGGTAAAGTTTCTGTTAAAAAGTTTTAAAAGCTGAGTTTTATGGTTGCTGCTGCTATCAGCTGATCTCCCAGCATCCCGCCCTTGCCTGCTGCCGCCAGCGGAACGTTAAACGCTCCCGTTCAACGGCACGCCGGCCGGCTCCAGAGCAATCTGTCTGGGAGGTGTGGTACAGCAGGGCATGAAATAAGCGGCCGTTTATACTCTTTGAAAAGTGTTTTTCTGCTTCACCTCTAACAAAGTTGATTGCATTTTCCATTTCACCTCCTTCACGGCTTTTCTCTCTACCTTAAGTAGGCTGTGACAGGGAAATTACCATGGTTTCCCATTTAAGAGGCGGAGGGAACAACCGAGATAATCTAGAAACAAGTCTGTAATAGGCATCCAGTGACACGGGAGCAGAGCTCTCACGCGTCAGGTCGGGCTGTTGAGTCATCAAACCCCGCTGTAGCCAGACCTGTCCTGCACGGCCCAGAAATCTGAATGAGTCAACAGTTCAGCTGAACGCAGTGGAACTACCCTGCTCCTAAAGGCCTTCACTGCTTTCCAAGAATAAACGATGCTCCAAAACGAACTTAAAGCCCCTTCCAATGCCACCGGTGCGTGGGGGGGGTGAAGGCAGTGCAGAGGGCCTGCAGCCAGCAATCTCCTGCTATCGGCCCACCCCTCTGCCCGCTCCCAGCCCCCAGAGCTGCACTCCAGGCTCAGCAACGCGGCCCCAGGTGCCTGCCAAGGTCTTTGGCAAAAAACCTGCTGGCGATATACATAAAAAGCATCTGGCAAGATTCAAAAATGCAATCACTAAAAGCTAAATCTCGGGCGTTGCCACCTGCCTCCCTCTTCTGAGCAATGCGACCAGCTCCCTGCTCGGGCAGCCGCGTGCTTCCCGCTGGGTCATGTCCACAAGACACGGAGTAAGGAAACTAAGAGTTTTCAGCAAAACATTCAATGCCGGTACAGAATTTTATTATTCTAAGACTGGGCTGTGGTTACCACAGTGTAGGACAAAAGAAACAGAGCTACTAATTTAACGACCCTATTTGCTGTTTTTCAGATGCCGTGGAAAACCACCAGGCTCCGCTTCACCTGACACTCGTGTCTGACTGAATTTCTGCCTGACTCGAGGACTCCATCACCTAAAAGGAACTGCCAGTGTTCCTGCATCAGCTCGTCCTTCGTAAAAGAAATGCTGACTGGTGTTTTAGAGGGTAATTAATTTCATAGTCAGTGAAGTCTAAGATAATAGCCCCTCCTTTTTCATCTCAGAGAGAAAGAGAAAGAGAGAGAACACGAGAGCAATTGCTTTAAGAAACAAGCCCCATTAGGCATGTTGCATTTGTCAGGATGCAAGTCCAACAATTTAAGTGGGAATTCTGGTAGGCATGCTCAGGCACCTTTGAACTGTCACTTAATGACTGAACAGTACAATTATTAATTAATTAAAGCCTTAATTAATTAATAATATAATTAATTGAACAGCAAATCGTCATTAAAACTGGTTTTGTTGTGGCCGTCATGCAAGTCAGTCTCTAATTTTCCAGTTGCCGTAATCCCGGTGCTTTCCGTGCTGAGGGAGAAGCATGCACGTGGGGAGGGGCGAATCTGCAAAACCGAGCTCGTGACGGCGCCCGCTGCCGCCTGACCCACGCGGCCGCTGTGCCAGCTACGCGTTCCCTGCGCCCGTTTTCGGGTGTGTGCATACTCTGAGCTTAGAAAATCTGGCCAGGAGAGTTTTTTAGAGAACATCTCAGAAGCCAACAGAGGAAGTTAGTGGAGAGGAGAAGACCAATGACGATGGAGAGACACAGCAAACCAAGGTGTTTACGGCTGGCCTAGCGAACCACTACTGGACCAGCAAAGCCAGTAGATGACAAACAGATGAGGCAGAAAGCAAAGAGCTCCTTCAACTTCAGCAAAAAACAACAGAGCAGGGATGGATCTGCTTGGAACTGAGTCTCGCCACGGAGCGACGAGTTCCTCTAGAACCCTGTTTATAGGTCCGGTTGTACCACGGTACTTTGGTAATGGATCGGTAGGTCTGTGACTCTGTGAAGCTTTGGAAAACCTGAAAAACGATCTCTCTGACTCTCCCTCCACATTCACTATTCCAAAACCTGTAGCTGCAAGAGTTATTGCGAGAGACAATGAACACCGGCCGTTTCGCCAGTGGGGACTGGTTAATATCTGGCATGGCATTTAGTGGTTGGCTGTAGCCTGCCGGGGTGAGGAGATGAATCTGGCAGGAGGGAGATCCGATGCCTTTACTCCGATACTTTGCTTCCTAGAGCTGATGCTACTGTGCTGTCCTCAAAAGGTTATAGGTAGCCCCAGGAAACATGAGCGTCCCCTTTCCAAAAGCAGAAAAGGGGTAGATCCCTCACCAGGATCTTTCTTTGCTCATGGGAGACTTTGGGAATCAGCAGAACCCCGACACACCTCCGCACTCACTCCCATTGCAGCCTGAGAGAAACAACTGAGAGCGATTTCTGCCCCCAGGGAGCAGCTTCTGGACATCAGACTGGAGACACGAGATCAAATTCATCTCTGGTGAAATTCCACTGGCTTCAGCCACGTCAGACCAGAGATTAATTTGGCCCACAGATACATTAAGAAAGGATACAAAGCACAAACGGTATTTTATAAAAAAAGAGAAAAGGGGAGGGGGAAATTCAAGGGGGACGCTGGATCCTAACCCAGCAGGATTCAGCCCAGCCCGCTCCACCCTCACATCACCAGGCACAGGGCATGTTGCCGGTTACCTTTTTGCTTACTGACTTTCTTTACTGTCATTGCCGCTTGCCGCTTCTGATTTTCAGAAATTTCAAAGCCTGAAAAAGGGAACACGGCAAACACAATTCAGAAGATTGCTTACAAAGCCTCTTTTTCTTTTAGGGAGGGGGGAATGTTCTGCATTGTTTGGCCGACACAGAACGCCCCAGGTGGCAAAGCAGCACCCGGCGAGCTGCGTGGGCGGGCAGGTATTTTACTGAAAAGCCAATTTCCCGTGCGAGGACAGGCTTGTGCAGGGGCTGTACGAAAAGTAAGATTAGACCCATTATTATTTATACAACACGTGCCCAGTGCTTTACAGCTGAGCAACGCAATCTGAGCCTGAACTGACACTGGTTACAGTCAATCTGTGGGCTGGTGCTGAGGGAAGGGCACGGGGATAAGTCATCGCCTTCACCGCCCTCCTACCCCGCACGAGACGTGATGCAGCCACGAGACTGAAGTCAGATGGCCAAAGACTTCCTTCTCCCACAATGCCCACCGAGGTCCAGGCGTGAAGCTATGGGCAGAATTTGTTTACTGAGGGCCAAAAATAGCAGTGACTGAATTGGAAAGAGACCTGATTATGACTGTGAGAGCAACCAAGGACATTTGAACGAGGTCGAACCGTAATTCTGCTACAGAACAATGTGGGCTTCTCCAACAGCTGGGGCCAGATTAAGCTTTACCAACAATCTCCTCTCAGATTCGTTTCATATTCCTCACCTATCTTTTCATCTTCTTTTACCATCTTCCTTTCTTCTCTGAAAGCTCTAAGCCATCGTAACTTCTCCTCCAGTTTCTTGGTAAAGAATAAGTGCATTTCCTCAGTCTCCTTGTTATGAAGTTTGAAGGCGTTCTTCATGCTGATGTTGAAGTCATCATCTCTCCCATCTTCAATATCCACCACTTCGTATTTATCCATGTCTATGCGACCTTTGTAATACAGAATATCTCTTCGGATCAGATCCTACGGAGAGAAGAGGAGAGGTGGGTTGATCATAAGATACTTACAGAGCCTGGGCTCAGCAGGAGTTCATGGGGGGGCTGAAGAAAAGACACAAGTCCCGGCGAAACCTGGTCAGACTCTTGAAGCGTCACCCGCTGTGAGTACACGTGCTGCTGGCTAAACAAACAGTGTAGGTCTCAGGCACGAAAAAACAAAATACAAATCTTCACGCTGGAAAATTCTGCTTGTAGGCATGGAGAAATGCCTGGGAGTAGGTAACATGCCTCCATCCTTTTCTGTGATGGGAATTTCTGCTCCGTAGGACAAGAAACCAGAAAACACAGGCCACTGGCCTGATAGGACTCCTGTGCTGCAAACGAGGCTGTGTAGAAGCACAGATCTTGAGAAATCAGCTCGGGCCCGTTTGGCAGTGCAGACTAGGCAGCGCAGGTCTGTTTTCCAAATGCTTTACGGGAGTCGGGGGAGATGGGTCTCTGCCCCCTTCTCCTTGGAAGGCGTTTCCCATTCGACACACCTCACTGGCAAGCAAATCACCCTGGCTCGGTTCAGAGAACTCCTAACCAACCTCTGTCCCATTACGCCCTGGTTTTAACCTCCTGACCCAGCTTAAATGCTTCCTTTTTCCCTCCTTGGTGTTTGTAACCTTACAGCCAAACCTTTAATCCCCAACTCCGTTCCAAGTTCATTATTCCTGGCCCCTGTTTTTCACCAACAGCTCATTTCTCTGCAGTGGGAAGGGAGAAGTAAACCAGTTTCATTACCAATTTTTCCAAGATCACATGACAACACCCCCAGCTCCCACCAGCATAACCTCCACTCCGCGCCGGCGTGTACCGGGCTACCACGACCCCCCCAACCGCGGAGGGCACGCGTTCACGGCGGCTGGGAGGCAGCAGAGGTGGCGCTGCAGAATCAGTGGTTGGAGACCCGTTGTGCCAACTGCTCAATCACAGACGTGACACTGGGGTGCTGATAAACTGCTGTAAAAACCAGACAGTTTCCTGTTTTCCTCCTTACCCTCTTCATAGCTGTTTTGGCTCGTCCCATCGGATTCGGCACTGCCTTGACTAGAGCTAGTCCTGACTCAAGCTGGTGTAAGAGGAGTGCTGCTCTGCTCTGGAGAGACCCCACCTGGGGTGCTGCGTCCAGCTGTGGAGCCCTCAGCGTCCGAAGGCTATTGACCGGTTGGAGCGAGGCCAGAGGAGGCCACGGGGATGCTCCAAGGGCTGGAGCACCTCTGCTATGGGGACAGGCTGGGAGAGTTGGGGGGTTCAGCCTGGAGAAGGGCAGCTCCGGGGAGACCTCAGAGCCCCTTCCAGTGCCTGGGGGGGCTACAAGGAAGCTGGAGGGGACTTTTTACAAGGGCAGGGAGTGACAGGACAAGGGGTGACGGGTGTAAATTGAAAGTGGGGAGGTTTAGATTAGATATTAGGAAGAAGTTCTTCCCGGAGAGGGTGGGGAGGCACTGGGACAGGTTGCCCAGAGAAGCTGTGGATGCCCCATCCCTGGGAGTGTCCAAGGCCAGGCTGGATGTGGCTCTGAGCAACCTGGGCTATGGAAGGTGTCCCTGCCCATGGCAGGGGGTGGGGCTGGGTGATCTTTAAGGTCCCTCCAACTGCGCGGTTCCCTCCATCCCTCGACTGTCAGAAAACAGAATGTTAGTTACCTACTCGTGACCACGTAAGGCGACTCAAGCGACAAGGCATCCATACTTAAAAAGCCGAATTTAGCAACACACCATCAAGATTTCCTTCCTCTATCCACTCTGAAAGCCAAGATTTAGGTGTATTAAAATAATTTAACTTAAATACTTACTGATTTTTCAGAGCGCACTAAAGGTAAATGCTGTGTCAAAGGATTCATTTAAGAAGAAAATTAAGATCAATGTACAGCATTTATTTACTCAAGTAAGATTTAGTAGCAAGGTTTTTTAAGTAGCGGGTATTATTTTAAAGAAATCATTAATCTTGGAAAATAAATTGTACACTATAGTTTTTTTAGCACACTTCCTCACAGACCTCCCAGGCAGTATTCACTATCACAAGGAGGGCACTGTCCCGGAACTCACAGCCTTGAGACCTGGCACCGGGCTCCCTCCTCCGGAATGCTCAGGGGCGGATCCATTAACAAGTATCTTACCCTAGTATGTAAGCTTTGAGTAGCGATGCTGTCCAAAAGAAAAGGATATTTCGGGCTGAATATGCAACAGAAAATCTCCAAGTTTTGTCTTAGCTTGGAAAATTGATTCTTTCTCCTCCCTCTGCGCCCAGTGAAGTGCTGAGAACCGGCTGTCAGCGTCGCACTAAAACTGTTCAGCCAAATCAACACCGTGCACTGCTTTTAAATGTCAGTCCCGGACCGGCTCTGAGAAACAGCATTTGTCTTCCCCACAGTCACAAAAAACCTCGGTAACAAATCTCACAGGGATGAAGATGCGCCCCCTAAATTAGCTCGAGCAGCATCTGCCAGAGAGAACCGACGCGCCGCTGCTGAAAACTGCCAGGACACAACCCGGAACCGACTGTCCCCGTCAGTGAGGCGGGATCAAACGCGCTTTTCCGTGCAATGTTCACGATTGCATGGAGACTTCTATTTACTTCTTAGGGGGTGGCGTGCAAGGATGGATGGGGAGGGCTTAAGCACGGGGTATGCTTTTAGGACGGCACTTTTTCTTTCAGGTGCTGTGGTTTACTCTGTGCTGGGTCACACTCTACTTCTCATGCACAAAACAAATCCTCTGTAAAACACAAGTGGAGAAAGAGCCATTTCCGGCCATTAGATCCCTCTTCCGAGCTGACAGTGTAAAAGATGCCAACCACAGAACGATCCCTTACAAGTTTCTCATTGCACGTGTAGGCTGTTGGTCCTCCTGGTTACCAGGATCCTGCGTATTCCAAGGGCAAAGTAGCTTCAAAATGACTTGAGGAGGAATTAGGCACCCTGAGGACACGGAGGCAGTCAGGTTTCAGCAGGCAGGGACTGGCTGCGAGCCTCCGGGTGAAATACAATTCCTCCCTCAGTCCTTCCCCGTCTCTATAATGGGATAACGATATTTGCTTATTTTACAGGACAACTGGGAGCTGTAAATAAGTAATCTGCGAAAGACACTCTGGAAGCCTTTGATGGTGGAACTTCAGCAGCTCGAAGCCCTGCACGAACAGCTCAGCATCACACGGGATGTGGAGCTGACGGACGGAGGGGGGCAGTGGGGGGGCTCTGCGGGTGGCACATTGCGCGGTTCCCTCCATCCCTCCCGCAAGGCGAAGGGTGGCCGGAGTGCTGCAGGCAGGTGCACATCCCCTGGGGACGGTCACTGCATCCCACCACAGCTCTGCAGATCACCGCGTTAGGGGTCTGCCGAGGTGTCTTCCTCTGGCAGTGAGCACGAGTGACAGCACAGAGCCACCCTCGCTGCCCCTGCCCGAGATCACGGCTCGCAGCGAGGAGCGTCGCCGGTGAAGCAACAGCCCTCGTGGGGCTGGAAGGCCGAGCACGTGGCACGGCGGACACATGGACGGCAAAGCCAGGGCTTACCCAAAATGACTGCTAATTGCAACCTAACGGACAAGGCAGCAGCGTGCTCCGTATAAAAGCAGCAACCCCTGCAGACTGTTTTTGCCCAGATGATGATGTGTTCTTTGCGTATCAGGGGGGAGTGGGGATCCAAGGATGAGGCCGAAGAAACACCCACCTACAGGCAAGCTCTGATTCTGAAACGGTTGATGAGTACTGAACGTTGATGCTGACACTGGGAGAAGACTGAACCAGGGTCCGTAATGACTGCACCCGACCACCACCTCAAGATTTGGAAAGGGCCGAGTTGTCTTCTGCACTAAGGTGTGGGTCTCAGACCCTCTCTGCTGCTGTCTCGTTGACCCGGGCAGTGACTGGACAGCGGGAGGGAAGAAGCAGAAGGAGCAAGCAGAGTTTTTCAGTTTACTCCTGAAACCTGTCCTGATTTTCCGGCCTGCCTGCTCTCTATCTTCACTCTGCCCAGCCACCGTGAGCCAGGAGAGCATGGCACGCTGCCGCCTCGCCATGCCTTTGGGTATCTTTACTCATAGCGGCTTTCAACGTTCTTTGGCTTTTAAAAAAAAAGATTCAGAGCCTACATTTTTAAAATCTAATTTACCTTAGAAGCGACCCTTTGAAGAAAGCGGCGCAGACTGCTTTTCACGAACACCAAGGACACGGTTCTCCGTAGCATTTGTTCACTTCACCCTACTGCGGGCTGTTTTTAAGACGCAGTTATGCACCATCCTCGCTGATGGCCGAGTGCATTGGGCAACTGGGTCTCTGGACCCTAAAACTCCATGAACCCTTCTGAATGTTTGTGTACTGAATATTCTTGGTATCAGACAATCAACCTGAGCCCTGCAGAGTGGTTGGATGATGGTGAGCTTTGCTACCACCCCGTCGGACACAGCAGTGTGGGCTGAGCCAGCCCTCAGGGGCAGGGAAGCGGGGTCTGCACAGCGCAACCTGAAAACGCAACGGGGGACGGGCCGTGTTGGACACGGGGACGTAACGCCACCTCCTCAACACCGCCCTGGCCACACGCTTCCCGTCGCCTGCTTCCCAGGATGGGCCAAATCGCTACAAGTTTCCCCAGGGGCTGCCCTGGGGACAGGGGAGCCGAAACCTCTGCGACACCCGTTTCCGTAACTCCTCCTTGCACCAGGACAGCTGTGCTGGGGAGGTCGGCACATTCCTGCCAAATTATTCAGCAGTGTCTGTCTCCCGAGTTTGGAAAGAGATGTTTGATTCATCCCTGCCAGCTCTGTGAAGCTGCACTGTGGGATCCGAGTGGGGGAGGACTGGAGCTGAAAGCGTTTATGTGAAAATGCTATTTTCGTTCGATGTATTTAGTGGAACATCAGCGGCGTTTTGGTGCCTCGTTCCACCTCAAGCCCAGTCATACTGGCTGCGAAGCAGCGAGGCGAGGGCGAGCGCATTTCCAAGGAACTAATAACAGGAAGAGACGGGAAACCCTGCTGCAG